ACAGCGTGGTGTTTGAATTTGAAGAATGCATTAGTTATTAAATATATATCGGATAGTAAGTAAAAAAGTTATAATTATTTGTTAAAAAAGACTACGCGATCATTATTATTGAGCAAATGATTATGATTACTTATTGAGATACAGGGTGTCAAAATTGCAAATTTTTGCAAATTTAATTTTTTTCTATTAGCATAGGCATCATAGACATATACATGAAGATGTTTTGTAAAGTTTTTAAATGACAGCGTGGTGTTTGAATTTGAAGAAAACAAAAAACTAAATTACATTAAAACACACAGAATTTCACAATTTTTTAGTCCCGTCTAACGTCTATTTCATACAACTAAATAACTACAACAATAATGTTTATGCCGTATTTTGTTTTTTTATCATTTAATAACAAAATTTCGATGGAGTTACGTTTAAAATTTGTATACCATGTCCTTTCAGACCATTCATTTTAATTCGTGTGCCATGACAAATTGTGATATTCTTAAAATATTTTCAAACTAGCTTTGTCGAATTTCGATAGGAGAGCTCATTTCGTTTAAAAAATGATAGTATGAGGGGGTAAGTTAGACAAGCTTTTTTTAATTCCAGATAGAGCAACATGAATTCAATTGATCCTGCAGTTGCATCTACCAGTTCCAATCCAGAACAAAGTGATGACACTCCAGAAGATCCATTTGCTACAAGTTCAGATGATCCCGATTATCACCTAGACCCAGAAGAAGAATTATCAGATTCCGATTCTGCCCAAAGTATACCTCGAAAATCTCAGACAAATTCTCTTATGAATTTCTTCAAACTAAAAGGAAAAAATGAACCAAACCAAGTTTGTATGATATCCGAACCTCTAACAAGACTTGTTAAAAACATGGGAGAAAAATCTGATGATCCACAAAGTTCGCAATTTGCTTGTAGTTCCTCCATACTAGATGGAAAATACTTTAAAATAAAAGAAAACGACGGCGAAAACATTACAGCTGATTGTCAACTCTGCCTTCCACAGAAGAAAACCATAAAAGGGATAAAAGGTTCTTCTTCAAATTTTTTTAAACACTTAAAAAGGATTCATCCTAATAAAATTGACGAGTATAATAAGTATAAAATTTCAAAGAAAGATTTGACCAGAAAAAGACTTAATGCAACTCAAGATTTCGAAAGTCGAGAACCCAAACAAGCTAAGCTTATTCAACCAAACATTTTTGGAATGGCCAAAGAGGGAAGCAAATCAGTTTTAAGCCAATCTCTGTTTGAAAAAAGAATAATAAATTTTGTTGTGAGCACAATGAGTGCAATATCTATAATAGAACACCAAAGTTTTAAGGATATCTTCCAAGGATTAAATTTGAAAATACCAACAAGAAAGACAGTAATGAAACGAATTATAGATTCGCACGATGAAAATATGCAAATTATTAAAGATAAAATTAGGGGTGTTAATTACGTATGCACCACAGCTGACATATGGTCAAATAAAAAAAGAAGCTTCTTAGGAGTTACAGTTCACTGGTTAGATGAGGACTTTATCCGCAAATCAGCTGCACTTGCCTGTAGAAGGTGAATAAATTATAATTGTATATTTTTCGATATTTCTTTGGTTAAAACGCTACGATCTACCTAATCTCAAATATTAAGTATTTAATCATTCTACGGGGTAGCCAAAATCCAAAAAGGAATGATTTTATGAAAAAAGATGAAACACTTTAATTTATACAATTATTAAACTTACAACTATTTTTAAATATACAGTATGTTCATGTTGTAAAGAATTATAGAAATAAGGCAAAGCGAAGATACATTTTTCAATCGGAAAACTTTATACATTTGTAAAGTTTCGTCAATGATCTGATTTCCGATTTCAGCAATATATTTATTTGTTAGATTTAGGACCTAGCACCTTTTTGCATGGAAGCAATAAATTAAAAATAAAGAAAATCGTTGCTTAAGTTCCTATCTTACCTTTTGAAGTACTATTCAATGCACTAATAATAGTTTATTGTCCGAAATTATTGATTTTTATCACCCTTTTTTATTTATCGCATTGACTAGTACTTACTTAAAAAGATATTTACAAGACAGCCGATTTTCTGTTTTCAACAATTATCATGTGAAAACAGGTACACAGCTAAATTGTGATTTTCAAATATCTATACCTCCTAAACCCAAATATTTAAACAAAATGCCGAAATCAGATAATGCAGGAGAATTCAAAATTGTAAAAATATATAGGATGGTTCAATTGAAAATATGTATATTGCTTATCCACCGTTTCTGTGCAACACTCTATATTTTTAAATATTTTTAAAGGGTCCTACCCTATTTTCTTTCTTTAAAATTTTTCTTTGTAACGAAAATACATCTTACAGCCTTTATTTTTCGGCCATCCCACTATACAAATTCATAGTCTTGTACATTCTACATGGACGATGTACAAACAAAAATTTAAGAACCATTGTTTATTTTAGGTTTAAAGGTGTTCACTCCTACAGAAGCATAGCTGAGATGCTAGAAGATATAAATTTAAAATTTGGTTTAACAGAAAATAAAATTGTGGGGACAGTAACAGACAACGGTAGCAATTTCGTTAAAGCTTTTAAAGTATTCGGCGAGAAAAATGAAGAGGACGACGATGAGGAAATTGACGAAGAAGAAAATGAATTGCAAATTTTACATTTAGAGGTTGATGAAGGCAAAGAGTTAGAAGACCAGGATATACAGCTACCCAAGCATATGCGATGTGCCACACATACTTTAAATTTAATAGCCACAACAGATTATAAAAATACTGTTATAAACATTCCAACTATCCGCATAAGAGAAAAGAATGCATTTAGTAAATGTGCTCAGTTATGGAAAAAATCGAATAAACCAAAAAGCAATGAAGTTATAATTAAAATTTTAGGACATACTCTAAGTTCTCCAGGGGCCACTAGATGGAACTCCACTTTTGATGCAGTTTCACAGATTCTTCAAGCAAAAGAAAAACTTCCAATTTTGCTACAAAATCTAACATTAGAACCTTTTAAGGAAACTGAACTATTATACCTAGAGGAATACTGTTTAGTTATGAAACCTTTGGCTTTAACGTTAGATTTGTTACAAGGTGAAGAGAATGTATCTTTTGGATATTTGTTACCCAGCTTAATTTCATTAATTAATAAATATGAGAAACTTCTTGCCCAAACAAAATTGAAATATGGAGGAGAACATCTAGCAAAAATGTGCATTAAAAGCTTAAATACTCGTTTTGCTAACATTTTAAATTTGGAATGGGAAGATCCAATTATAGCTGCAGTTCTTCTTCCTAAATTTAAGCTAAAGTGGTACAATGTAGTACATAATCCCAAAAAAACTTTAGAAGATATCAAAAAATGCATTATAACTGTTGCAAAAAAACAAATGGAGTTGGAAAGTTGCAATGAATCAGACGAAAGTGGAGATCAAAATTTAGATGACTTTTTTGATTTTAGCGATTTCCGAGACCAGCAAGTGGACAATAGCTGTACTATTACATATAATGAACAGGAACAGGGTTCCAGCGTAAATAATAAAACTTCAAAAATACAGTTAGAATTGTTACGATATTTGGAGGACAAAAGAACCAATTTACAAATCCTAAATGAATACCCAACCTTAAAAAGGGTGTCAACAAAATATAACACATGCTTACCTTCGTCAGCACCAGTTGAAAGACTTTTCTCTTTTGCAACTATGATTGATACACCTAAAAGAAAAGCTTTAAGCGATGAACACTTTGAGGTATTGGTACTTACAAAGGCAAATTCAAAGGCACTTCTGTAAATATATGCGAAAAAATCTTCAGCAATTTCTTTATTAATACGTTTTTATTTTTATTTAATTTTTCTTTACATATTATAGTATGTTCTGGTTTGATTAATCATGTTCTTGTTTTATTATTCATAAGTAATAAACAATTTCTTGAGTGTTTTTTGATTTCTGTTTCCAGTATTTTATGCACGTTCTTTTTATTATTATATACAATAAAAATACATGCTCATCACATAATTCTATCACTAGCAATTTAGGTCACTTTTAAAAGTATCCTTAAAAGTATCCTAAGAAGTATCCGAAAAAAGTATCCGGATACTTGTATCCGAATACATTTTGAAGTGAAAGTATTCGTACTTTTTTAAAAAGTATCCGGATACATTTTGAGTATCCGTATCCGGTATCCGGATACTTTTTTTCTGTATCCGACCCAGCTCTGCTTTTTGTCAAAGTAAGTGTTCAATATGTCCACCATTTTCTTTAATTCATTTGTCAATACATTCCATAAAATATCGTCTCCTATTTAAATAGCATCATTGATTCTAAAGAAACTGCTGCAGTATTTATTATAAGTGTTATAAGTATAATAATAAGTATTTTTGAAATTTTTATGAATTAAATAATTATAATATTATCTCAACACGAGAATATGACTTCCACGAACAATCCAACGTTCAGGAAAGTTGTATTTATATACAGTCTCACTCTGGTTTCTCTGTAATGTAATGGCGTACCATCTTGTAGAAACCATATATTTCGCCTTAAGTTTGATGACAATTCTTTCAATAAATCAATAAAATCATTTTATGATTTAAAAATACCGATAACTTGAAGAACAAAAAAGTGCCACGTATGTGGCATATGTGGCGCCCTCTATTAGCTATATCAAAGTATGCATCAAATTTTAATTTCTGATATTCAATAGTAACCAGTTGTAAATTTTTATACATAAATGTTTACAAACATGAAAGTTATAGTGAAAAATAAAATTTTAAATTCCCACTTTAACACCCTGCATCTTTTTTAATATCAACATTTTATTAAAGCAAGTTGGCTTAAATCGTAATATTTTAAAGTGTAGAATCTGCGGTTTCTTTTTGTACAATTACTTAAGGACCACCCATTATAACCAATTAGGTAATTTTTATAATATACAGAAAAATCAATTTAAACATTTTGTTAGTAACAACAATTTTAATTTTCAGTCATTTTTCGTGTCTACTGCGCTGACCACACCTATTGTACGTTACGACTACCAGTAGATACGACAGCGGAAACCATCAAGCTCGTAGCTGCGGAAAAATTAAAAATGAGACCAAGTGACGAACTATTATTGGTCGAAGTAAAGTCTAATGGAGAGAGGGTCGTATTCAAGGACAACGATATCAGTATACCTACAGCTCTATCTCTTAATGGAAGAATCTTTGTGTCTCCAAAAGATCATTTAGATGCTCTGGTGAGTTAATTAATTTTTGTATGCATATATTTACAATCTAAGTCAGGGCAGAATGTTTTACAACCCGGTGGAAAGTCTGAGTTTATATATATATATATATATATATATATATATATATATATATATATATGTGTGTGTGTGTGTGTGTGTGTGTGTGTGTGTGTGTATGTGTGTGTGTGTATATAAACAAACAACAAAGTTTATTGGGTCTGCAGTCAGAAGTTTGGCCGGGATGTTACAGAAGCACTCTTTTGACTTTTAGTCTAGCTTTCGGAATTGTTTAATTCCTTTTTCAAGACACTGTAATTAGAAGAATGTGTAAATATTTACAATAGATCACAAAATGTCAGTGCAACTTACTAGTCGTTGAGATTATTTGTATAAAGCTATGACACTCAACATGAATAAAACACATATAAAATATAACATATAAAATAATGGACAAAATACATTTTAAAATTTAGTTAAAGATAGTAAAAATTCGTTTGTGACGTCTTTTAATGGTGTATTTTAACTGATCCATAGAGAGTGGAAAGAAAAAAAAACAGAAATAGTATAATTAAAAATTAATTAGGTGTTCTTCATATTTTATTAATATAAAGTAATGTATTAAACCTGTGTTGATGGTATGCAACCTGTTTTGCATGCAGGTGTATTGTGGTGTGTATATGTACAAGTAAGTCTTAATTTCATTTTTTATGTTTTGTCAGTAAATAACAATAAATGTTGCTCAGTTTATCTATATCAGACTTTTTATTTATACAAGACGTATTGGATTTTATGAAACACCTTTCCAAGAAAACACTTTTAGAATGGTGTTTTTCCTTGCCAAAATACAGAAATCCTCGAAATTAAATTTATGTTTTAAACTTAATGCATATTCTGTGAACGCGCATGCGTTAATTTTTTTGGTTTTTATGTCGCTGCGATGTGAGATCACCCTACTGTAAAAATTACGGGACGTTATGTGAAAAGGTATCTTTTCTTTACACGTTCTTATAAGTTAATCCATAATTCATCATCATTAACACACCTTTTATCAAACGATATGTAGATGATTTGATTTTATCAGTCCCGGAAAACAAAATCACTGATGTTTTAAACATCTTTAATGCCCAGTGTGAACACTTAAAGTGTACGGTTGAAAGAGAGGCTGAGAATATGATTCCTTTTTTAGACATGCTGATACATCGTGGCAGTGATGGCATGCTAAGGACGAAGTGGTATCGTTAACCTTGTTTTAGTAACCGTTTCATAAACTTTTATTCTCAACGTCCATCTAAGATGAAAACAAATTTGGTTTTGGCCCTCAAAACTAGGGTTATCAACTTATCACACATTCAGTGTTCAGGGACAAGGGACTAAAAAAGTTGAGATCTATGCTAGAAGAGAACTCCTATCCCATAGGGCTTTTAAATAAACTCATTTTTGGTACTCCTTTTCCGTTGCAATTTTCTGACAACCAAAATTTTCGTAATAATGAGGTCTGATAACTGACATTGGCATTGACACACAACACGTCAGAGCTACCACAATCTAAAATAACGTATGGTTGCCTACCCTATATTCAAGTCCTAACACCTAAGCTAATGAACATTTTCAAAAATGTTAGTGGCTTAAAAATTGCGTCTAAGAATGTAAAAACGGTATCGAAGTTGTACACAAAGACAAAGGATCTTTTCACAATACAGGAATCATCGAGTATTGTTTATTCTATACCGTGTGCTAATTGTAAAAACGTGTATATTGGTGAATCATTTCGTAATTTTCAAAGTAGGGTGATCTTACATCGCAGCGACACAAAAACCAAAAAAATTAACGCATGCGCGTTGACAGAACATGCATTAAGTTTAAAACATGAATTTAATTTCGAGGATTCCTGTATTTTGGCAAGGGAAAAAACCATTCTAAACGTGTTTTCTTGGAAATGTGTTTCATGAAATCCAATACGCCTTGTATAAATAAAAAGTCTGATATAGATAAACTGAGCAACATTTGTTGTTATTTACTGACAAAACATCAAAAATGAAATAAAGACTTACTTGTACATATATACACCACAATACACCTGCATGCAAAACAGGTTGCATACCATCAACACAGGTTTAATACATTACTTTATATTACTAAAATATGAAGAACACCTAATTAATTTTTAATCATAATATTTTTTTGTTTTTTTTTTCTTTCTATTCTCTATGGATTAGTTAAAACACACAATTAAAATATGTCACAAACAAATTTTTACTATCTATAAGTAAATTTTAAAATGTATTTTGTCCATTATTATATATGTTATATTTTATATGTGGGTTATTAATGTTGAGTGTCATAGCTTTATACAAATAATCTCAACGACTAGTAAGTTGCACTGACATTTTGTGATATATTGTCAATATTTACACATTCTTCTAATTACAGTGTCTTGAAAAAGGAATTAAACAGCTCCAATAAACTTCGTTGTTTTTTTAAATAGACAGTCACTAATATCCAGTGTTTATATTATATATATATATATATATATATATATATATATATATATATACATATGTATATATATATAATATATATATATAATATATATATATATATATAATATATATATATATATATATATATATATATATATAATATATATATATACACACACATATGTATATATATATATATATATATATATATATATATATATAATATATATAATTAAGAATCAAAAAATTATTTGTTTGTTTCGAAGCTAATCACTACCATACTAACAGCTATAATGGATTGGATATGTAAATAGATAAAGTAAGTGGCATTAAAAGTCACTTAGGTCCCGTAGTTTTTAACATAGTACATTTTTCTTATATTTTTTATTGTTTCAAAATGTTCTTGTTTCAGACATGTTTAAACGAACAAGAAGAATCTACTCAAGGCATTGATGGTGATCTGGAAATGTTTAGTACAAAAGAACTGGCTTATTACATTACACTTTTTGACTGGGATCTTTTTTGGTAAGCCTAATGTGTATCCGATAAATGTTTATACAAAGCCATCGAAAAATTAGAATTAGTGTAGGCTACGTATTAAAAATTGCTGTGATTATGATTTGAGTCAGTTTTACATAACAAATCATAATATAAACAAACATAGCCTAATCTCTTTGTAATATAGTGTTCTTTGAAACTGATATTCACATTAAATACGAAAACCACGCGAAAACTGCAGTTGTTTATCATGAATCTCATATACGTCTCTCATATCTCATCTATCATATCTCATAGACGTATTTCTCAAACGTCTTAAAGCAGTGAACTTCTTCTTGTTCATATAGCATGTCCTTTTATAACGTTGGTTACTATCACAGCTATTTTATTCTTTTAGAGCTATACTTTAGGGTCACTGTCACGCTGAATAGCATGTTTGTATCAATACCATACCAATGTCTGTAGTTCGTAAATCATCACATTTCTTCGTCCTGGACCGCGTTTGCCTGCTATTTTTCCTCGCCTAATATTGTGTACCAAACTATATTTGCGGTCTCTAATTACATGTCCAAGGTTCTCCAGTTTTCTCTTTTCGATGCTTTTTACAATCTCGTTGGTCTTGCTGAGACGTCTTAGTATTGTGGAGCTTGGTGGATGTGTAAGGCGGATCTGCAATAATAAGCTTAGGTCTCCGCTGCAAAATATTTTGGTCATCCGTCCCAAAGCGACCATAGTCTACTCTGGATCTAGTTTCACTGTAGCTTTCTGCATTACAATATGACTGATATTTATATTTTATTATTTATTTATTCTGAGTTTCCGTATGCTCAGATTTAGACCTGCTCCTTTACAGTTCTTACCAACACAATAAAGAAGAGTATGTAGGTCTTCGTGACTAGAAACTAGAAGTACTATGTCGTTCGGATATTGAAAATTATTGTTTGTCTTCTTCCGTCACAATTATTCCTTCATATTTTTGGAAAGGGCATTTCTAAAAATTCTCTCGAAGTAAATATTAAAAATCGGGGGCGACAATGTGCTTCTAATATTAAGAGTCTGTAATTTCACACCATTTTATAAAACTGATGCTATCTGATTTCAATTGCCTCTTCTTCTTCATGTGGTTTAAGCTTTAGCTCATTATTACGGCCTATTTTACTTTGTCTGCAGCAGTTCTCAAGAGTTATCTTTTTTCATATTTCTTAATGTTTCTAATGATTCACGTGTTCTCGACACTTCAATACAAATTCGCAATTATGCGAACATCTCTGGCATCCAAACCAACGTTTTTTTGAGCTTCCATCAGTGGACACCCTTTTAAATTTTTTTAAGAACTTCAGAACTGAAAATAAGAGTGATAAAGAGTAATTATTTAAATCTTAAATATGTGTGAGTCCATTTCAAGTAGGTAAAAAGATATAAGAATAAGACTTATAATCAATTTGTCCTACCAACAACAACCGGTTTCGCATACTATAATTTGCTATGCATCTTCAGTTTAGCGGTACATGGTAAACTATATGCTGAAAATGTAATAACCCGTATTAGGGTGATATAGTACTAGTCTAGTATAAAATATATAGCTATTATATCAATATTATATGTGTGTGATTTATTAAATATGAATTTAAATTAATTAAAAATAAAAATAAAGTGAAAAATGATTTAGTAAAATTGAAATTATATAAATATTACTGACATGTCGATACAAGCATTATTATTAAGTATTTGAGACAACATAGTTTAAAAATCCGTTATGGTAAACTGGTGACAGGTGGTCATCGGTTTTACTGCAACTATTTTACGAATAAAGGGATAGTTCTTGAGGGGAATTTGTATTTTATTTTTAGATATACTTTTATATATAATGTAGGCATTTGTAATAACTGATCCAGTGGGAAGTTCGACTGCTAGTTTACGGTCCCATTTTACTCCTCTTCGTAGTGAATTCGAATATGACTTTATTTGATCTGAAAGGTCAATAAACTCTTTACAGTTATTATAATCGATGACTGCTTGTGGTTTTTCTACCATTTTGTTGTTTTTACTCATAACCTCTACTTTGCTGTCTGTGTACTGTACTAAGCATTAGTACATCTCTTTTATCTTTCCATTTTATTACAACTCCTGTGTTACTTTCTCGTGCAATAATTTCATTTCTTTTCAACTTTGCTTTCACAACCTTTTGGGGGTTTAATTTTCTGTTCGATCTGAGTGTGCCTATGAGATGTGTTGATCTATCTAAATGTTGGTGAGCCAAGTGAATACTAGTATAAAAATTATCTGTGTACAGTATTCTATCACAATCTAGGAGACCGTCCATCAGCGACATAACAACTGAAGATGATGCTAAAATCCCTGGCTCCAAAACGTCTCTTCCGCAGTAAGCTTTCATAATGAAAGTATACCCATTTTCTGTGCATAATTTGTAGAGTTTTATCCCAAATTTATGGTTTTTATTTTTGATATATTGTTTGAAAGCCTGCCGTCCACGAAACGGTACTAGAGTCTCATCAATGCATATGTTTTTGTTGGCAGTTTGAAATTTGGCCAGTAAACGATCAATTAAGGAACTTTGAAAATAAGGCTATTATCGAGCTTAAGTTAATTAAATCTAGCCCAAGTACTTTCGCATCTTAAAATAGCATCTTCAGAGGCATCTGAAATAAGCCAAGAAAACGTTTTTTTAGATGAAGTAAATTAGTTAACTTCGATAAAAACTCGAAGTTAATGGATGAAAAAAGTTTTTGAGATTAACGTTTTAGACTTACTTCGTCAAAATGTAAACTACCCGGCAAGCGTAGAATGTGGAAACATTATTAATGATATAAAATTGTACAAAACACTACACTAAAACGAGGACAAACAGTTTAAAATTACTTAAACTACATTCTCTGTCAGTATCTGGAGGGATAATGATCTAAGCGGAAATGATACGGTGACATGTGACATATGACAACTTTGATAGGCAGTCAAAGTTATGGATCTGTGATCAGCAAATATTAAAATTCTGTATAAGTTGTCATTGGCCAAAGGTCCAACTAGAACTACTACTGAAAAAATCAGCTGATGAAGTAGGACATAAAGAATATTTTGATTTAAACTAGATTGCATAATCCAGATCTCACACTCACACCCGTCTGTAATAATAAGGTTGTAGGTTTGAGGCTAAATGAAGTGTACATAAAGTGTGAATGAAAGAAATAGACCAAACGATCTATTGGACAGTGGGTAGTTGACTACAATAAAATGGTCTACCAGGCACTGTCAATACTTCAAAACGAGAAGAAAATTGACTATGAAATTATGCTATAATATATGAAACTTCTTCTCGTTTTGCAGTATTGACAGTGCCTGGTAGACCATTTTATTGTAGTCAACTACCCACTGTCCAATAGATCGTTTGGTCTATTTCTTTCATTCACACTTTATGTACACTTCATTTAGCCTCAAACCTACAACCTTATTATTAACGTTATTACAGACGGGTGTGAGTGTGAGATCTGGATTATGCAATCTAGTTTCAATCAAAATATTCTTTATGTCATACTTCATCAGCTGATTTTTTCAGTAGTAGTTCTAGTTGGACCTTTGGCCAATGACAACTTATACAGAATTTTAATATTTGCTGATCACAGATCCATAACTTTGACTGCCTATCAAAGTTGTCATATGATGTCACCGTATCATTTCCGCTTAGATCATTATCCCTCCAGATACTGACAGAGAATGTACAATGTGTTTTGTACAATTTTATGTCATTATTAATGTTTCCACATTCTACGCTTGCCGGATAATTTACATTTTGACGAAGTAAGTCTAAAACGTTAATCTCAAAAACTTTTTTCATCCATTAACTTCGAGTTTTTTATCGAAGTTAACTAATTTTCTTCATCTAAAAAAACGTTTTCTTGGCTTATTTCAGATGCCCCTGAAGATGCTATTTTAAGCGAAAGTACTTGGGCTAGATTTAATTAACTTGTGCTCGATAATAGCCTTATTTTCAAAGTTCATTTATTCGAGCATTCAACCTCATTTCAATGATCAATTAAGGGTTGAATTTTGAAAAGTCGACCACCTCTTGGAAATTCTGTATTATTAGAAAAATGCCACATACGTAAAATTAGTTCGAAACGATTTCGTGACATACGCTTTATGATATTGACGTACAGGATATTATTGGAGCAATAATCGGATAGTCGAGGTTTTTTATTTAAACCATCCACATAATTATACCCAGGAAGATTTCAAATTCTGAATTTGTTTCCAGAAGAGGTTTCCATCTTTTGACTCTTAAATACTGCGAAATATTTTCATTTTGTTTGATCTGGTCAGCATATCTGTGTGTTTCAGTTACAATATAGTCAATGATATCATCTGTTAGAAAAAATTTAAAGAAATCATAGGGTTCTTTTTGCGCTTATAGCGATGCAACTTCAGATGAAATGTAAGGATGTACTGCATTGAAATCAAACACCTTTAGATTTTTTCCCGTTACAGCAGTCCATGTAATTTGAAATTCGGTAGGAGTAACAGGAAGTTCAATGCCATCGTGATCTGTGTCTTCAGGTGATTGACTAGATTGATGATCTGTTGTCTCCGTGATACGGCTTGAAGATTATTCCACAGTTTTACGATTATCACTAAATGATTCAGACTAGCCCGCAACACTACACTACTTATCACTTGATCTACAGTACTTTCGTTTCCATTTTTTGGTAGCCGGTTTTCTTGTTCACTATCTGAGCTGGACAAAGATGGTATATAATCGTCTTCAGAATTATCACCTTCGAAAGGATCATCTACATCTTCATCACTCATATCAAAGTATTCATCCTCATGCGATCTCTGCAAATATTGTTGTTGTTCGTAAGTATCAAATTTTTTCGCCATAATAAACATAATACGAAATACGTTCTAATACGAAACAAATTCGAACAGCACTGTTACTCTAACGAAATCTTTACTTAAACTAAATTGCAAGCTGAGACTTGTAACGGTAGGTAAAGTATATTGCGTGAGTTACCTACA